AGCGCCAGAAAGGTCTCGAGGTCCTGCGTGGCTTAGGCTACGTGGCGTTCCGATAAGGGGTCCCTATAAGGGGTCAGGACGCGAAGACCCCCTAAAATACTGCTTAAATATTGAAGCAACAGTACATGGTTGCAGGTTTATTTAGGGTGCTATGGAAACCATTCACAGAGTAAATTAATATTAGACGGTACGGTATGAAAATTTTCATATCCCTTATAAACCCTTTAAATACACCTCTAAACAACGGAAGGGGTTACAGAGGCGATTCAGGGTGCTATGGAAAGCTATCACAGAGTAAATGAAAATGGATATGGTTTGAGTACTCATATACCTCTTATAGACCCCTTAAACATCCCTTATAGACCTTAAAACCCACCCCTTAAACACCCCTTATAGACCCCTTAAACACCCCTAAACAACGGAATGGATTAGAAAGATGATCGAGGGTGCTATGGAAGGCTATGATAGAGTAGAGGCGACTGCGCACGGTTTGAGATCTCGCTTTCCCTTTAAATATAGCGGGCGCAGGTACATGCGTCACCTTTTCGGGGCGGCGCCTCTAAATTGCATTCTGAGTGTGATATGTATATTCATATACACATATATATGTGCATATATCTATATATTTTTACCTATCTATCTATCTATATATCGATGTATCTAACTATATATATATTATATATATATTATATATATATTATATATATATATATATATTATATATATTATTATATATATATATATATATATTATATATATATATATATATATTATTATATAATATATATATGATATAAGATATTGAACTGTAGGCCTACAAGGGTATCATTAAACACGCCTCATTATAGGGCGGTGGAGCACTACAGCTATGTTTCTATAGCTCGAAGTAAACATGCCAACATCAAAACACTTTTGGTAATATTTGTGAAAAGAAAATGATCCCTACAACCAAAATAAAACCTAAATCTAAATAAGTCATCTCGGGGGTGGGGGAAGGTGGGGGGCGGAAGGAATACAGCCGATGTCTTGAGCTGTCGACTGGAACATCGATGGTCTTGAAAAAACTACGTATATACGTTATTTCATAATAGATTATGATTTTAAGATATTTTAGAATTACAATATTCCTACATCATATCCTGCACAAATATGTTACTAATTTATAGTTTGAAAGCAAGAAAATTATATTCAAACACGGGAAAGGGAGGGCTCTGGCGACTTTGCTTCACCAGGCTGTTCCAATACGAAAGGTCGCCTGGCGAACACTGGTCATGCTTTTAACAGTACAAAATTCCCAATCGTCCGGCGAAACCTTCCGCCAGTGCTGGCGAAAGGTTTTAAAAGTTCGGACCTAAATCGCCAGTTGAAACTAAACTGACGTCGATCAACAAGATCTCTGATCCGGACGTTAGAACACAGCAAAACTGTCCAACCATTTCTAAAAGATTGAATATTAATGCAGCATTTTAAGATCTCTTCACTGAAATACGCTCTTTGTAGAAGGAGACGAAGAGCTGTCCATATAGAGGTTCAAAGGATTATGCGTAAAGCCCGTGAGGAAATCGTCGAAGTGGCCCTTTTCGTTGATCGTAACAAAATAAACGAGGAAAATGGGCTGGAAACTCTTTGCCAAATGTTTCATGTCAAGGTTAATGCACATTAGCCAGGTCAGTTACAAGTGACAGGAGAAAGAAGACGAGTTGGACGTTCTATTGATACCTTGTTGTTAGAGATTAAAACGAGGAAGTTATATTATACTGTGAAAACGAATTCTTTATGATCGTTTCTATCACCTTGTCTCATATATATTACAAATATCACGTAAATGATCACTTTCTTCTGATAATACTTCACCTAAAAGCCTACCTGTGCAATTCATTCACAAAACTCAACAGTCTCATGGTGCATGTCGGAGATGAGAGAGAGAGAGAGAGAGAGAGAGAGAGAGAAGAGAGAGAGAGAGAGAGAGAGAGAGAGAGAGAGAGAGAGAGAGAGAGAGAGAGAGAGAGAGAGAGAGAGAGAGAGAGAGAGAGAGAGAGAGAGAGAGAGAGAGAGAGAGAGAGAGAGAGAGAGAGAGAGAGAGAGAGAGAGAGAGAGAGAGAGAGAGAGAGAGAGAGAGAGAGAGAGAGAGAGAGAGAGAGAGAGAGAAAGAAAGAGAGAGAGAGAAGAGAGGGAGAGAGAGAAAGATGCTCTACTTCATTCACTTCCCTCCTTTCCCTTTTCATTACCATATTTTCCTATAAAACCCTCTAATCTTTGACATCAAACACCTTTAGCAATGCTAGCTGAATAGGACCCAATATACTTTTTAACTGCTAAAGTGTAGAGATTATAGAGATAACACGGGGTAACATTTGTGTCTCTAAGCGTATTGAGTAAATTATATTCTTCTCTCTGTGTGTCTCTTTCTCTGTCTGTTTCTGTTTTTCCTACCCTTTCTCCCCCCCCGCTCTCTCTCTCTCACTCTCTCTCTCTCTCTCTCTCTCTCTCTCTCTCTCTC